CAATAGAATAGAATATTTATTGATCCCCAAGGGGAAATTGCTAATTAGCTGACAAGCTGCTCCATCCCAGGTGTTAAATATTAATAGTACAACTATGACCATAAGCAATAACAATTTATTTAAAAAATTCTATAAATAACTCATATGTATATAACTAAGTGTGATGTAAGTAATTTAAATATGACTGGATATAAGTAAATAAATAAAATAACAATTGAATGGCACATGGAAATAATTCCTTAATCTATAAATAATCTATAAATGACTCCAGACAAAATCAGATTTGGCTGAAGGTGCTCCGGTATTCCCAAAGGCTGCTGGAAAGGACCAGTGTTTTGCTCTTGTAAAACACCGATTTACACTTGATTTACTATTCAAAATCCAAACCTGCATTCTTATTTGTTGAGCATGAGGCTCTACTGTCATGATCCGTGGTTTTCTGTGTGTTTTTGAGTTTTTCAATGTGTTCCTGTTTCCCTGTGAGTCTCTGTCCTGTCCTCCCCGTTGATTGCTCCCCAGGTGGGTCTCATTCCCTTTATTAACCCGTGTGTATTTATACCCACCTGTTGTCTGTGTTCCTCATCGGGTCCTTGTCAATTGTTAAACGTTTGCAGTCTGCGTCTGTCTGTCCGTCTTCCCAGTTGTACTGGTTAAGTCCTGTGTCGACGTCAGTTCCAGTTGATTTAGTCTTCGTTGTCAGTTGCTACCGGTGCTTAGCTGCGTGCTAGTAGTTCCTGCTGTGCTGCCTGATTTGGACTATGAACTACATTCATCATTAAATTCATCTTCACCATAACCTGGGTTCTCTGCGTCATCTCCTCACCACTTCAACCCCACCTTATGACATCTACTGCTTTTCAAAGACGTACAGTTGTATCCACTGATGTTTGCAGCCATTTTCATGTGTAAACGTTGCGTTTGGGGCCAAGGCCAGCAGCAGCTTATCTGGACTTAGACTCACAAGAGGCCCTAAAACAAAATAGGCAGAAGTGATCAAACTAAAGTTTCATTATCTCAGAAAGCAAAAAAATATCTAATGAATATGTTTTGTATGTACTGATCTCTTCAAAGAAAAACCTTTAAATCGTCACCAAGACTGTAAACAAGCGCTTTCCTCCTCAGGTCTGACTCTACATTACAAATCTGGTAGAGTGTATGAACTCACAGCGACGCTGAGCTCAGAGCGGTAGATTGTGTTCAAAGCCATTCTGTTGAGTAAATGGGGTTTCAGGTAAACTGCTGGGGTGATATTGGAGGTCTTTATGGAGCTGATCCAGGTCAGGAGGAGGCCGGCACCAGCGAGAGCAAAGAGACGTGGCACTCAGGAATTTAAAGTGATGTTAACTTCTATTACTTATTTAGAAGATCAGAGTGGTTAATTTAAGCTGAGTCACTCACACTCCACTCAGGACTCCTCGGCTCCATTTGCACCTTCAGCTGATAATTCAACCTCTTATCCTTTTATTTATCCTTCTTTATTTCAGAAGTCACCTCAATTTACTGCATTTTTTCACATCAGTGGCACCAACTCAACTGGTTTGACTTGGACTGCAACTGAGAATTATTTTAGCTAAATCGATTATTCTGATGGTCAATCAGAATAATTGTAAAAAAAAAGAAACAATTGGCACAATCTGAAGATTTCCTTTTATCCACTTATGCTTATTTAAAACATAAGTTTTAATTAAGCATAAGTGGGAATAAATAGGAACAAATATAATAAAATAAACATTTTACTGGTACAAAAGCAGAAACATTTATTTCCATTAGCGAATCGATTAATCATGATTAATAATAATTAATCATGATTAATCGTTTCAACTGTAGCTTGAAACGAATAACTGGTTAAATTAAAAATATCTTTTTTCATGTCAATTGCAAAATGTTTCTATCTTTGTACAGTTTTTGCTCTTTTTGTGTTCTTTCAGGAAATGTGTTGTTTTTAGTCTATATATTCCTGTTAAAGATTAATACATTACTAAATTAGTTGACGATTATTTCAATAATTGATTAATCATGATTAATTACGATTAACTGTTTCAACCATAGTTTTGACCCAGGTTTCATTATATAAATAGGTTTTTTTATGTTTATTTATACAAAACTCTAATTGAAGTATGAGATAAAAAGGAGACATTAGCTTGAAATGTCTTTAAAATCAAGCTCAGAGAGAAAAAACTCCACTTTAACAGGAAGAAACATCTAGCAGAACCAGAACCTGGCTCAGTCCAAGCAGTCATCTGCAACAAAGGAGATTTTTGTCTCCTTTAATGAATCAAATCATCAACTAAGATATATTTTGTATTAGTCAGGTTATATATACCATCTAAAATGTTTTAGGTGTGACAAAACAGAAAAATCAGAACAGTAGCTTTATGTGGCATAATTAACATTTATTATATTTTTATCTAGTGCAACTGTGAAAAGAACAGCAGCTGCCTCTTTAGCCAAAGTGAACATATTTAAACAAACTAGAGAGGAAAAGAAAACAAATTTATATGCAATGATGGATGATGCCAACTCGACTTTCATTTAATGGCTGACAGTGTTACAGCACTTGTTATGTTCAGGCTTGACAAGCACTGTTATTCCCTCCCATTACCCTTGGAAACTGAAAGGCGACGAACGGCCCGATGCATGATGCAGATGAAGAAGTGCAAGCCAGTCTCTCAAAAAACACAAAAGGTACCTGGAGAGCCAGCAGCTGCGCCACGCTCTGCCGTGCTGAAAGCTCGGTGGAAGCACTGCTGCACTTGACTACCAATCTATCAGCGTGTGGAAGAGATGTCGATGCTGAACCAGCCTGATATCCGCTGAATGAGAAATAAATGCCCCATCTTAAGTACTTGTCAGCGATGCGAGCGGAACAGCAGCTGCCTTGGCTTTTTAATGCAGCTCCACATGCATGTGAAGGAAGAGGTCACTCAGACGAAATTAAAACTTACCTGCTGGAGATTTAGCTGACACGTCAAAAAGAGGAGGCAGAATGACCTTCAGGTGTAGATAAAGTGGTGATCAGGATGTCATGATTAATTTTATTCTAGATCAGCACTGTCAGTCATTTTCATTTTGGGCCCGATCGAGATTATGAATGTCCTTAAAGGGCCCATTAACAAACTCTTAATATATTAATAAATAGCTGTCTCTGTGTTTGATTAGTTCTTTTTAAAATTAAATAATACTGAACATCTTTTCACATTGATCAATCTTTTCAGCATTTTGCTGTTATTTTTGTCATTTTTCACAAAGTCACAGATTCTCCAGAGCCAACTTACAAATATTTGTAATGAATTTTGTAATTTTTGCTGCGTTTCCATTACAAATGTACGCAAAACTTTGTCAATATTCCTCTAATATAGAAAAACTATAATTTCACAACTGTGGTGTTTCCATTAAATAAGAAACGCAATTAAAATCACACATGAATATGTTTATTCATGCATTTTAAAGACATGCTGAGCCATAATCATCCCACTACTTCCTGTTGTCATCTTCTTTGTGGTTTTTGTCAGTAGTAACATCCTTATGTTGATCATGTGACTTGTCTGATGCAACAAAAGTGTTTCCATTGCAGTTTTGCAGGAAAAAAAAAACTATTTCAATACGTCAAAACTTTTTTTTTTCTTTTTTTTTTGGGGAAATTTGCGTGTTTCCATTGAGTGAATTTATTCTCAAAATCTCAAATTGCCTAATTATGTTAGATGGAAACACAGTTTTGACAGGAAATGTGATTCTCAGCTACTCACTATTTTGATCACAGACATGAACTGAGGCTGAGGCAGCAGAATAGTAAAAGTGAGAGATACTGCCACCTTCAGGTGGGAGTTAGTATCATTAAACCCAATGATTTTTTTTAAAACCATTTTTGCAGAAAATTTACAATAAATTGACAGTAGCTGCATTTCCATTTGAATTACAAAAATAACTGTGCTTAATGGAAATTTGCCAATTTCTAAAAAACTCATGTCTTTTGATAAAAAGTTTTTCTGCTATGTTGAGTTTGTTTTATGGTTGTATCAAAATTAGTGTATTTTGCCAAACTGGAAAAGATCAACAACAGGATGTTGCTACTGGCAGAAACTACGAAGAAGAACAAAACAGGAAGTAGCTGGATGATGATGGTGCAGCATTTTTCTAATGACTTATTGTGTGAATAAACTTATTAATATGTTATTTTAATTGTGTTTCTAAGGGAAACACCACAGATGTAACATTTTATTTTGAGGGGGGGATGAGTAGAATATCTACATTTGAATTGACTTCAAAACTGCACAATTTGAAAGCTATCACCATTTTTGTTTTGGGTCAATTTGTTGATTTAACAATGAAAAGAGCAAAAAATTAAAGATAGCCTGCACCAGGTTTAGATTAAGCTAGTTTTTTCTTTATATTTTTACAAAAGAGTATCCATTGTTGTAATCAAATTAACACATTATTTTAACACGTTTTAACACAATAATGTGGTACGTATTGTTTCTGAGTTTTCAGAGATATGTACAATAGTTAGTCTTAGCTGTGAGTGTTTCAGCTGAGAAGTGCGTATGTTTGTGTAGCGTGAACGCTTCCTCGGCAGCTGCAGCGTTTCTCTGAAAAGCGACCGTATACGAGTGTCACTCAGCATTCTTTATCATTTCTGTTTGCATCTTTGGCAGCTGTCTCGCCTTTGTGTAAAATTTCTGCCTCCTCTTGCTTCTCTTCAAGAAAAATCACACTACTTGTCTTGTCCTCCTTCCTCTTCGTCACCCTCTTTTCTTCTGCCCTTCATTTCTGCCTGCTTCTTTTCTCTTTCCCCATCCTTCAAACATCCTGGGAGCCCATATTCTTTCTCCTCCCCTTAATCAGCATTCATCATGGTGTCCTATCCACTCTAATGAAGTGCTGTTGCTTTCAGAAATTTTCCTGCACCACCGCTGTCATGATTCTGGTTCATTTTAGATCATCATTCTGAAAAATCAGAGAAGCCTCAGAGTTTGACCCTGAATCATCTATGTGAGCGAACGACAAAGTCTTTCTTCTGATGAAAGAAACAAGCCGATGATTATGGGACAGTTTATGTTAATTGTGTTGCTTTAGCTTCAGAGGAACTTTAACAATGGTAATCAATTCACCTCTTTACCAAAACACAAACCTCACAATCTGTCAGCAACATGTTTATAATCAAATAGCAGAGCTGGACATCGCTAACTGAAAAGCTAGCTGTGATAACTTTGAAGCACTAATCATAAACAATAGTTCTGCTAACGCTAACTGAGAAGTTAGTTACACTAATCTTATAGCACTAATCATAAACAATAGTTCTGCTAACGCTAAAGCACTATACAAACATTATTTTTGGTCAGAGAAAATGCTAGTTTGCTAACTGAAAACCAAGTTATGCTAGCATTAATGATGGACAATAAATCTGCTAACGCACTACACCAACATGATATTTAGTTGGAGCTAATACTAGACCGCTAACAGAAAATTTTGTTGCGCTAACTTTATAGCAACATTTATGAACAGCTCTGCTAACGCTAAAGCTAAAGCAATATACCAACATGATATTTGGTTGGAGTTAATACTAGATCACTAACCTAAAAGTTAATTGTGCTAACTTTATAGGACCATTTAAGAACAACAGCTCCACTAAAGCTAAAGCACTATATCAACATGATATTTGATTGGAGATCATATTAATTGGCTAACTGAAAAGTCTGTACTAACCCTATAGTGCTGATCATAAGGAGTAGTTCTGCTATCACAAAAACACTATGCTAATACAATATTAGGTTGAAATTAATGCTAAGCCGCTAACTGAAACGTTAGCTGTGCTTACCCTACAGCTCATAAACATGAGTTCCTCTAACCTAAAAGCGCTAATCATAAACATTGGTTTAGCAAGCACTAATGCACAATGCCAACACAATATTTGATTGGAGTTAATGCTAAGTCACTAGAAAAGTATGCTTAAAACACTAACCATAAACCTCAGTTTTCTATTGCTAAGCAACAAAACGCTAACTTCAGCCATTTTGATAGTGTGAAAGCTAATCACTGTAAATGTAACAAATGTTGCAACTTTGGTCTCTAATCAAACCAAGCCTGCCGGACACCATGAGTCCAAGTCAAGGCTCAAGTCTTTGGGGAACAAGTCTCAGTTTTTTACTTTAGTTACTTCATTTCTGTCTCACAAGCCACTTTCCCTGGATCCACCAGTTAAGATGTGACAGTTGTACAAAGATCTGTTGTCACCTAAAGGTTTGCAGGAAATCCCTCACAAGTTTCTATAAGTCAATACAAACACTGATACACACGCCTTATGTTAGTGCTGACTCAGCTTTTCAGTGTTTTCACAGCCTGTTTGCTGACCCTGCATCTTCCAGACAAAATGAAATAATCGTTCTAGAAAATATACAAACGTTCAAAGCTCCTTGTTATTCATGTAGCAGTTTCATCTGAAATTCATGCTTCAAAAGTCAAAAACACAAAAATGCTTGGATTTCCCACATTTGGGTTACACTGAATGCAGCATAATTATGGATTATAGGTGGACAGAAATAAAAGTGGAGGTGGGAGCATTTCTGTCTTACTGAACTGATGTGATGTTTATTGTCATGCAAATCCAAACTTTTTTGGTTCATAATAATGGACAGAGTATTTTTAGTTGAAAATGATAAAAAAAGAACCAAATTAACACTGAAAAAGGAAAACAGGTGATCCAACTAAAGTAATGTAGTTAATTTGTTACAAGTAATCAAATCAAGTAAATCCAAGTAAATATATTGTTTATTAAGATTTCATGTAACAAATTAACTTCATTTTTCAGTGTAAGATTGACCACATAAGGGAGAACGCCTCAAAAACAAATAATCTTACCAAGTATTTTTGTGAGGTTTCTGCCTGGTTTGAAAGTCCATCAAAATGTAGTAACTTCTCTTTTCTGTGTTTCTTTAGGTAAATCCTGCCTTCCTGCTGTGCAGCCGCAGCCCTGCCCGCTCTGCGGATTACTCCATCATGCATTATTTATCTGATCCTGCAAATAAACATCCACCTAAGAGCTCCTCTCTGAAGCTGTATCTCCTGTTGGATCCAATCTTTATTTCCATCAGATTTAGATGTTTGAACTCTTCCCTGTACCGACTGATGTCAAATAAAACTTTATTAACTTCTAAGGGTTGGTGTTTGTTTTTATTGGGATGTGATCAGTCATTTTTCTGCTTATTAATTCATGGTTTTGCTCACCATAAATCTTAATAAACTCTCTCTCTTTGTGGGAATTTTTTATTTTTTTTACAGTTACCCAGTGAAGTGGAAAGCTATTTTTTCTCAGTTCTGTTTTGTAGATACTGATAAGCTTCCTGAACTCACCATTAGAAAACAGACAATAACCAGAACTGCATTTTTTAAGACCCCTAACATCGGACTTTGGTCTTGACTGCTGAGATAAATCCCTCACTTTCATTCAAATCATGATTTTACACCCGTGTGTGCGTAGTGAACGTTATTAAGTTTACCTTAAACAGAATGCATTACTGATACTGTGGATTTGTGCAGCTGCACTGCAGAAAAGTGTATATATAAAAACCATCACAACAACCCAAAAAGTATTGCATCAAAAACAACCAATTATGGAAAACAGCTTGAATACCGTTTGAAGGGTATGAAAACAAATAGATCTACAGTAATAAACCCAGTTTAATTTTTTTAATTTAAAACATTTTTTCTTCCTGAAGTATAAAATCAAACTAAATGTTAGATAAACTAATTGAGAAACTTGATTGTTCAAATCTTTAAAAGTTAAAACAAAGATTGTAAAATAACTTCTCCAACTAAGCAGTGGACAGACAAACAGGAATTTGAAGTCACTTTGAATTAAGTCAGAATTTTGTCCAGTTTGAAGGAGAAAAAAATATTTTTGTTGGGATTTTTACACCATGCATGAGAAAAATTTTAAAATTTCTATTTTTACTTTTTTCAATGTTAAACAGCTCATTGTGAAAGTTACATACTTCACATTTTGATGAATGTACTGCCATAGTGAAATACAGCTGTTAGCTTGTACTGCTAACAGCAGTTAGCCTGGTTAATGAACGTATCCATTAGCAAATCCCACTGTTGAACTGTTAGGTTTGGCTTAAAATCCTTCACACATAAACATTTTGGACAAAAGGCAATAAATTAACCACAGCATAAGTAGACACCTACAACTTCAAAATCCAATATGGCCATATTTGCAATTACTTTATAAACAATTTATACCAAAATGTCATCTGAGAACTACAAAATTCAAAAAGCCAAACGTCACCAGTGGTACTTCTAAAACAATTTAAGAACAGTGACAGTGAGCTATGATGAGGAATCCTTTAGGGCTTTATCTTAGTGTCTTTATCAGTTTCTTTAGTCAGTCGTTCCAAACTGTAAATCTGAGATGTTTTTTGTTCCACTGTTTGATCCACTGATAGGAGAAACCGGACGCCCTCGGTACATTGTAAGGTTAAACACTATACCAGGGCTGCCAGGGTTAAAATGGATGTTTATAAAGTCATTTAAGGGCCTCTTGTCACTGACCAGATGTCCTGGAACTCAGCTGGGGTTGCTAGGAGACAGGCAGAACTCTGCCGGGGTTGCTAGGTAACGGGCTGAGCTTCACTGGGGTTGCTAGGTGAGGGGCCGTGCCTGCTGGTTTGTGACGTTAAATTCCAGAGGTTTTTGGAACAGACTCCAAAAAACATGGACCTACTGCCAAAAACAGCTGGATGCTTATTTTTTAAAACGTTGGGCTGTTTGTAGAAATGGAAATGAATTTAAAATGTTTTCTTTCTGCATTTCCTTTTATGGTCTCATTCTAAAACTAAAATCTGCACATTTTACATGAACAATACCCAACAATGAAGGGATTAGTGAGTGAAAAGATAATAAACACACAGCTTGGATTCGTCTCCCCGCCACCATTAAGTCCGCGACTCGTCAACCAGACACACTCTGTCAGTTTTCTGCTGAAGACGTCTTGTGCATCGTGTGTCATCTGCCCTTTATTCCCAACGTGACATCCATCATTTTCATCAGTTAACTAAATGTGTGGTGGGCAGCCAAGTGTGAAGCGCTCTTCCTCATATCTGAGCAACTTGTTGTCAGCGGATGACGGATGGCGCGGCCCTGGAGGCTCAAAGCGGCTGGACAACAACTAATATTCACTAAATGTAGCTTTATGCTAACGGAAGCAGAGGCTGTTTGAGAATGGATGTGACATGAACACATCCAGCCTGTCTGCATGTCCGTGAAAGCTTACTGTGGACAGTAATAAGTATTTTCCATGAGTCTTGAGCATGCACAGCGTTGGCTGAAGTCCCTGAAGCACAGTATAAGGGATGAGTGTGCTGCTCTGTCTGATTTATTTAACGTGAGCTCAGAGGACATGGTCAACAAACCGAAAACAAATGTGTGACGATGTTAGGATCATGAAGGTACTCTTTGGTTTTTACTTCAGTTATTGATTAAAGTTTTTTTTTTTTTTTTAAAGGAGCTTAAAGCGTTTCTTTGCCACTCTCTTGTCTGATTATTGATTATTTCTCTTCATTATTTCCCATGAGAAGGTAACTTTCTTGATTTATTGTTGTTTTGTTGCCCTTTCTCTGACCCCAAATCTTCCACTTCCTCTGTACATCTCTTGACTTTTAGCTACCTAAAATTTTATAATTCTCACAAAATGAACTCCAACTAATTTGACTATGAATATAGAATATCACATTACGTAAAAGTGGATCCTCTATTTTTTATTTATATGTGGAATTTTGACATCTCTGCTCTCTGTTTTTGTGCAAACATGTCAACTTTGACAGTATGTATATTTTAAAAATGTACCATTCAATAACATAACTGAGCACGTTTGGCTTTGAGGAACTTGCCTGATTTGAATTAGATTGTTGTTGTCCAACATCAGTGTCTGACCTCACAGATGATCTCCAGAAACAACGGCTAAATGTTCTCTAAAAAATAATTTTAAAATCTCCAGAAAGGTTTAGGGGATAGATA